GTGTGTGTGTGTGTGTGTGTGTGTGTGTGTGTGTGTGTGTGTGTGTGTGTGGAGACATCTATTTTTTCTGTAATAATAAAAGTAAAAATAGTTTGTCCTTCGTGTAATAATAATGCTAAAAATAGTTTGTATATCTTGATCTGTTGATGACCTTTAGTTCTAACAAGGGAGAGAAGTTGAAGACCTTGCCAGCTGCCACAGGAAGAGAGTACTGTAAAGATAGAAAAGTAAAGGAAACAATAACAAAGTTTATATCTTGTTATTTCTTCGACATGCTTGCATGTGGATGGAAAGCATTTGTTTGTTAATGTTTGAATAATGTGTTTATAGCTGTATATTTTGTATTTAAGATCTCAAATTTTAATTCTGGAACTAATTTTATCACTTACACCGTTTTTAAAGAGTGCAATATTTTAATCTTTTCTTCATCACAAAATTCTGCTCTGTTCCAGAACAATGTTGTGTACGAAATTGTCAACTCGGATCCAGCCGATGGCACAGATTTCTTCTTTCTGAACGCCGAGTCAGGGAAACTGTCTGCTGCAAGGCCTCTCACGGAGACGTCCACCAACACTTTCACTGTAAGTCATTCTCTGTGGGAGGGTTTTGTAATGTGTGATAAATGGTCACTTTTAAGGACAAGCGGGCCAAAATCCAGATTTTGGGGGTTTCCAGAAATCTTGACCTACACCAAAAGTGGATATTGCCCTACCTATAGGAGAAGTTTGGTTTCATTGGTGTGTATATTTGTTTGGTTATAGAAAAAACTCTCCATGTCTTTTAAAGAAACTGAACAAGGGTTCAAAAACTTTACTTTTGATTTTCTCAAAACAGTATTTTTTGTGATAGCCCCCTTGTGCTTAAAAGAGACCAAATATGAAATGAAATTTTATGTGTGTGCCTGGAGTAAGGTCCCGCTGTCAGCAAAGCTATTTTTTAGCAAAGGAGTGAAAAGATAGAAAAAGTCACACTTAGTTGAAAAGTTATTTCTATCAGAAAACACACGTTTCACCCTTTCTTAGAGACATGTTGAAAGGGTTTTATGATAATTTAAGTTTAATTTTTTTAAAATTTGTTATTTTTGCTACATGTATTTCACCAAAGGTGAAAAATGTGCTAGAAATTGTGTTTTTCTCCAAACTTTCCTTTCTTACCCTGTAATACATAATGTGGCATATCTTTAAATCTGCTCAAGATATTTGAAAAAATTTTTAATCAACGTGTTCTGCATTAAATTTGCTACAAGAAAATGCCCTTATTTCAATATCCAAAATTTTCTACAAGTGGGACCTTTCTCTGGGCACACACACACAATAAATAAATATACTCTTTGAGATAATACAGCCGAACCTGCCACAACAGTCTTATCTCAAACGCGCCGATATTTGGACTTTTACGAATTTGAGTGAATCAAATTTCTGGATATTTTTTCAAGATGATATAAGTGCCACCTATGAGATTAGATACTCCCTCTATCAATGATCATTAACATTAAACAAATAAATTCAGCTGTTGCAGATACTCCCTCTATCAATGATCATTAACATTTAAACAAATAAATTCAGCTGTTGCAGATACTCCCTCTATCAATGATCATTAACATTTAAACAAATAAATTCAGCTGTTGCAGATACTCCCTCTATCAATGATCATTAACATTTAAACAAATAAATTCAGCTGTTGCAGATACTCCCTCTATCAATGATCATTAACATTAAACAAATAAATTCAGCTGTTGCAGATACTCCCTCTATCAATGATCATTAACATTAAACAAATAAATTCAGCTGTTGCAGATACTCACTCTATCAATGATCATTAACATTAAACAAATAAATTCAGCTGTTGCAGATACTCCCTCTATCAATGATCATTAACATTTAAACAAATAAATTCAGCTGTTGCAGATACTCCCTCTATCAATGATCATTAACATTTAAACAAATAAATTCAGCTGTTGCAGATACTCCCTCTATCAATGATCATTAACATTTAAACAAATAAATTCAGCTGTTGCAGATACTCCCTCTATCAATGATCATTAACATTTTAAACAAATAAATTCAGCTGTTGCAGATACTCCCTCTATCAATGATCATTAACATTTAAACAAATAAATTCAGCTGTTGCAGATACTCCCTCTATCAATGATCATTAACATTTTAAACAAATAAATTCAGCTGTTGCAGATACTCCCTCTATCAATGATCATTAACATTAAACAAATAAATTCAGCTGTTGCAGATACTCCCTCTATCAATGATCATTAACATTAAACAAATAAATTCAGCTGTTGCAGATACTCCCTCTATCAATGATCATTAACATTTAAAAAATAAATTCAGCAGTTGCGATCGGGGTAAAACCCCTATTAAAACCCAAAAAAATATCAGCTGTTTGTTTCAAAGGCTACAGAATGCAAGGATTGTTTTTGTTTTGTTTTTCCCAGTTCACAGTGGCAGCCTTTGATGATGGTATCCCATCGCGCAGAAGTGTCGCCAATGCTCAGATCACCATCAACATTGACAGGAACCAGTTCAATCCAGTCTTTTTCAACACTCCATACTCTGTGACCATTCAGGAATCAGAAGGAGTTGGAAACAGTATTATCCAGGTAATTGTCCTCGTGTTCTTTGGGTGAATTCTCTTCTTTATTGTGTTATTGTTGTTGTGTGTGTGTGTGGTAGCCTATCCGTTCGAAATGTTTGGAGCCACAAAGAGCGTGCTCTTCGCCAGGGCCACCGCCTCTCTTTGGTAGTGGGAGAGGCAGTCCAACCTCCCAGAATCCTCCCCAAAGAGATGCCACCGGTGGACTTCTGAGGCTGTTGTTGTTGTTGTTGTTGTTGTTGTTGTTTTTGTTGCTGTTGTTGTTGTTGTTTATTTGTGGGGCTGACGGATTTTGGCTGTAACTGAGACAGCAATTTGTCCTCTACACTTATCCATGAGCCAGAGAAGAGTGTTTCGTGCCAGGGTCACATCTTCTTTCGGGTACTGTGTGAATCAGTCTTGCTTTGTCTTGTCTAGTCTATCTTTTCTTGTCTTTTCTTTTCCTGTCTTGTTTTGTCTTGTCTTGTCTATCTTTTCCTCTATTTCTTTCTTTCTTTCTAGGCGTTGCTTATCCACTGCAGGATGTAGCCCTCCAACAATGTCCTCCACTCTGTTCTATCAGCTGTTTTCTGTGTCCAGGTTGTACCCGTCTGTTCATTAATGTCGTCCTGCCATCTTTTTTCTGGTCTACCTCTTGATCTTGTCCCTGTTCTTGGTCTCCATTCTGTATACTATTTTTTTTGTTAATCTGTTGTCCTTCATTCTGCTGATGTCTTCAGACCATTCCCAAAGGGGGGAAATTAACTTGTTCTCATGCACAGTACAATTGTAAATTGTAAATAGGCTGATTGATCAATGTCCTGCTCATAACTGTGCCTGAACTGCAACAGGGAACTGCTGCTTTTTCTTTCCTAATCCTTACTTTTTTCATTTTCCTCTATTTTTTTGTATGCTTGTCACACTCTTGTGAGCTGCTATTTCCAGGGTGCCTTGATAGTCGAAACAGACTTTGTGCTGTTGAAACGAGAGAGGTGAGCATTCCCTTTAAGGACTTCTCTGTTGACATCCACCCCTTGGTGCTCATATGACCTTATGCAGTTGCGAGCGCTGTAAAACCTCTACTAAAACTAAAGTTTTGCTTATGTTTTATCGTATTTTATAATTATTCTAATGTGTCCCCACAGGTAACAGCAAGAGATGATGACCAGTTTGGCACAGCCTTCTCTAACGTGACCTACTCTCTGATTGGAGACGACACCATGCCCAGCTACTTCTCTCTCAACATTGTGTCCGGAGCGATCAGCGTCCGGCGACCTTTGACCTCTGACTCGGCCACTGGTTACCAGGTGAGAGGGATTGGAGCTGCTGAGTTTTGTTGTTGTGTGTTGTGTTCTGTTAGTGTGTGTGTGTGTGTGTGTGTGTTGTGTTCTGTTAGTGTGTGTGTGTGTGTGTGTTGTGTTCTGTTAGTGTGTGTGTGTTTGTGTGTGTGTGTGTGTGTGTG